AGTGAGGTAACCTTTTCCTACAAATATTCCGTTCTTACTTATTACAACCTTATCAGATATAAAAATGCACTTAAACCCGTTCTTGACGAGAAGTGTAGTATAGACTAAGTTCTTCCTAATTTTAGGAACGTGAAGGATGTTGTTCAGAGTCACCACCTTGCCAGAAGTCATTTTCAGAAATATCTTGTCACATCCTTCAATCTTGGCCGTTGCAGAATTTTCCATAGAAAGCGTCTCTTCAGGTCCAACGGGAGCATATGTAGCAAACACTTCTCTAACAGCACAAACATGGCGAGTGGCTTCAGAATCAATCCACCATTCCTTAGGATTTCCCACCAGGTTACATTTAGAAAGCATAGCATACAAGTCATCAATATCCTCGTGCTTTTCAACCATGTTTGCTTGACCCTTCTTCTTGTCTTTCTTTGGAGCACGACAATCTACCGATTTGTGTCCAGCTTTCCCGCAGTTGTAGCAATTTCCTTTGAACCGCTTCTTGCTTGGGTTACTTTTTGGTCCAGAAGGCTTCTTCCTCTTTTTATTATTTTGTGGATCATCCTCAACAATGTTTTCTCCCATTATTGTTGAGTTTCCTCGACCATTCTTTTCAGCAGCTTTGTTGTCCTCTTCGATCCTCAACCGAACAAGAGATCTTAGAGTGACATCTCCTTGCATTTGTGTTTCAAGTAATTTTTGAAGTCCTTCCACAAATAAGGCAACTTCTCAATCATTGTTACAACTTGGAATGCTTCATTGATGACAAGACCTTCAATGAAAATTATATTAGTAATAATAATATAATTAATACTTTCAACAAAAGTATTAATTCAACTTATACCTTCAGGAAGGAGATAATGAATAATCACGTGCAATTCCTGGACTTGGGTAATAACAGACTTGCTATCTACCATTTTGTAGTCCAAATATTTTGCGGCAACAAATTTCTTTAACCCGGCATACTCAGTTTTTTATTTCTTTTCAAGTGCAATCCACAGTTCTTTTAACGTCTCCATATTACTATAGACATTATACAGATCGTCCTCCAGTCCACTAAGAATATAGTTCTTGCACAAAATAATCAAAATATTTCCACACCTCAGTCACGAGAAAGCGTTCATTTTCTAGAGTTTCGTTAGGCAGAACAGGAACATCTTCCTTAATGAACTTCTATAGACTTAAAGTCGTCAAGTAGAATAACATCTTCTGCCGTCGCCACTTGAAATCAATCTCGGAAAATTTTCCAGGCTTTTCTACCAGTGCTGGTGCCAATGCCGGTGTTGTTCGGCTTATCGATGCATTGGAAGTCACCATAGGAACATGTTAGTTTCCGTTCTCATTCGTCATTTATGTAAAAGAATGACACAAATAAATGTTTAATATATGTTAAGGTTTTTATATCTTCAAACCGAATAAGCTGGAGTAGAAAATCACGTAGATTTTAATCTCCAACGGATTAAAAAATCACTAAGATTTTAATCTCCAAATAACAGATAACAAAACAAAACAGAATATAGATTAAGATAAAAAATGGAGTAGAAAACCATGAAGGCTTTAATCTCCAAACTGGGAGTAGAAAACCACACATGTTTTTGTCACGACTCAAAATCCAACTAGTCGTGATGGCACCTAACCCAACCCGATAGGTAAGCCAATTAACAACTATCCAATTCCAATGATATTTAATAAGACAGTTAAGTAAATAAATTATCTGAATCTTATACATTTCCCAAGGACTGGTAGTACAAATCATGAGCTTCTAAGAATAGAGTTTACAAAGCTGAAATGAAGTAAATACATCATCTGTTTGAAAAGTACATAAACAGAGTTTCATAGATCTAAGGCTACCATGAACAAGAGGCAACTACAACTGGAATGCAGGTACATCTTCAATTCCGGCTCTCGTCGATTACAGCAACATCAGTAGTCAATATCTGCACGCAAGGTGCAGAAGTATAGTATGAGTACAACCGACCCCATGTACTCAATAAGTAACAAACCTAACCTTAGGTTGAAAGTAGTGACGAACTAACACAAAGGTCGGGTCCAACACCAATATTTCACAATAGTTCATAACAGCGTAGTACAAGTAACAAAAGGCGTATCTCAGAAATTAAATGCTCAGCTCGTTCACAGTTTCAGAAAATAGGTATGCTTTTCAAGTGTCTCAGTAAAAACACAAATCTTTTACCGAAATTGCTAAAAATATGAGTAAATTTGAAAACTGTGATTTTTCCCAAAAATCCTTTCAACAATAAATAAGATGCTTCATTTTCCTTTCAGATAGAAAGTATAAGATGTCTCTATATGCCCATATGGCAAAATGTATGAGAAGTCATAAATGACATGATACTATACAGCATGAGGAAAAATGCATCTCTATGCCTGTATGTCAAGTGTGCATGTCAAATGCGATACAAATCAGTAATAAAGACCATATGCATACTCTCAGAGTATCAATTCACTCAGTCCTCCCAATCACTCAGTCTTCACAGTCACTCAGTCCTACCAATCACTCGGCACTCGGTAGGTACCGCTCACTGGGTTTGTGTACAGACTCCAGAGGGGCTCCTATAGCCCAAGCGCTATAATCTGGATGGATAACTCACGTGTTGCTAGGACAACTCACATGCTATAGTATCAATATCTGGATCCGCACGGATAACTCACGTGCTGTACGGACAACTCATGTGCTATAGTATAACATCTGGATCTGCATGGACAACTCACGTGCTATAATATAATAACTCACAATCAGGCCCTTGGCCTCACTCAGTCATCAATCTCTTCAGTCTCTCGGGCTCTCAATGTCATGAAATATCAACCCAAAATAATGATGTGATGTATCAATATGTAGCAACAGAGACTGAGGTATGATATGAAATGAATGAACATGACTGAGTATGAAATTGCAATATAAGTAAATAACTCAACAGCAGTAACGACCTCAATGGGTCCTAACAGAGTAAGCATGTAGCTTAGACATGGTTTCTAATATGAATCACAGCTCAATAGCTCTAGTAAGTAGATTTCATGGTTACAGATATGATGAGGTAGCTACACAGTACCACAAAAAATAATGGAATTACAACTTACACAGTGCACGCCCACACGCTCGTCACCTAGTATGTGTGTCACCTCAACACCAATCATATAACACATATTTTGGGGTTTCATACCCTCAGCACCAAGTTTAGAAGTGTTACTTACCTAGAATAAGCCAATTTCAACACCGAGCAAGCCAAACGATGCTCCAAAATTCCATCCCGCATGTTCCGACCTCCGAACGGCTCGAAACTAACCAAAAAAAACTCAAATACATCAAACAATGCTAAAGGAAACAATCCTAATTGATAAAGGTCAAATCTTGAATCAAAGCCCAAAATCGGCCAAAAGGTCCAATCCGGGTCCACGCCTCGAAACCCGACCAAACTCACAAAATCCGAAAATTCACTCAATTACGAGTCCAACCATACTAGTTTCACTCAAATCCGACTCCAAATTGGTGTTCAAAACTCGAACATTCGTATTATGAAACTTTAGGCTAAAACCCCCAATTTCTCTTTTGGAACCCTCAATCAAATACCAAAAATGAAGATAGATTCATGATATAAAATCAAAAATGAGTAGAGAACACTTACCCCAGTCCATAAGATGAAAATTTCTTCAAGAATCGCCTCAATCCGAGCTCCATAGCCCCCAAAATGAAGAAAGAACCAAAACCCTCGATAATATAGCTTCTGCCCAGCGATTCCGCATTTGCGGAAAATTCGTTACATATGCGACCACCGCTGTTGCGGTAAAACTTCGCTTCTACGAAAACAACCTGACCCAGCAATCCCTCGCACATGCGGTCTTTAAGCTGCTTCTGCGCACTTAAACCGCATCTGCGGTTGCGCATGTGCGTCCAAGCACCCGCACCTACGATCCTCATGCCCAGCTCCCTTTCACGCTTCTGCGACTCCTTTGTCGCTTCTGCGACCATCGCACCTACGCAAACTAGTCGCAGGTGCGATCACACCAGAACCAGCAACTTAGCAAAAAATCCAAAAATGTAATAAAATGATCCGAAGCTCGTCTGAAACTCACTCGATCCCCTCGGGACCCTGTCCGAACATGCCAACAAGTTCCACAACACAATACGGACCTACTCGAGGCCTCAAAATACACATAACAATATCAAAACGACGAATCACGCCTCAAATTGAAATCTATGAATTTTGAACTCTCAAATTCAATAACCCGTGCTGCAAAATAGAAAATCATTCCGGAATGACTTCAACTTTTTGCGTACAAGTCATAAATGACATAACGGAGCTATTCTAATTTCCAGAATCAGATTCCGACCCCGATATCAAAAAGTCAGCCTCCCGGTCAAACTTCCCAAAAATTCAACTTTCATCATTTCAAGCCTAATTCTACTACGGACCTCCAAAAATCTTTCAGACACGGTCCTAAGTCCAAAATCACCATACAGAGGTATTGAAATTATCAGAATTCTGTTCCGGATTCAAATTCACAAAAAGTCAAACTTGGTCAACTCTCTCGATTTAAAGCTTCAACCATGAAATCCATTCTTCCAATTCAATTTCGAATAACCTGAAAGCCAAAACCGACGATTCACATAAGTCATAATACATCATACGAAGCTACTCATGCCTGTAAACTACCAAGCGAAATGTAAATGCTCAAAACGACTAGTTGGGTCATTACAGTTTTAGTCTCCAGAACAGTATATACAAAACAAATACATAATATATTTAAGTTCCTTAAACTTGTTAGTATTATATATTGGCAAAATAATTCTAGAAAAGGAAAAATAATATAAAACCAGAAATGTAGAAGAAACAGAAATGAATCTGAGCCCACTGAATTCATAGTGTTTCCTTAAGGAACTTAATCCCCTCCTAGTACCCGAGGTTGTGAATTATTTCCTCCCATGATAGAATAGATTACACTCTGGTGTAGCGGTACTTCAAACCCCAGTATTTCAATGAACACAAATGGCGGCAGTAAATCACACTTACGGTTGCTTTGTTGTAGTTAAAACAATGCAGAAGAAAGAAGAAAATTTTAGAATTTTTGTAAGAAAAATCTGAGGGAATGGTATAATATTTATAGCCAACATGTTGGGTTCAAACGAAGAGGTGCAACTCTTCAGAATGACTATTATGACTGTTCACGTAAAAAGAGCCATTACGTAAATGGTTATTTACGCAAAATAAAACGGGAAAATCAAACGCGGAGGAAAGTTAATTTACCGTTAAAAAATGACTAATTTGGATTAAAATAATATTACGTTAATATTAATATTAATAAATAAATTTGATCTAAAAAATTAATCAATCATATCATTTGACCAAATCCGAATCCGAATCTGGATCCAAATTCGAAGCTGAAACCGAGCAAGTGATGACGACGACGGCGCGAGGCTTGCCTTCTTCTCAACTCTTTAAGAGCTAGAAGAAGTGCAATTGTATATATACCCATCAAAACTCTTTTCCTCTTCAAATATGTGACAATGTTCCTTTGTCAAAGAGAAAAATTCAAATATTTTATTTTCCCCTCCATTTCCCATTTATTCTTTATTTTAAGCTTTTAACAAGCTTAAACCCAACAATACCCGAATCAAAAGTGGAAACTCAGGCAAAGCTAAGGAGAAGTATACAACTGAGCAGGAAACAAAGGAGGATGATCCAAAATGGCCGATCCTGCATGTAGTTTGATCGGAGCCGGAAACACCGCGCAATTCACCTATGCTAAACCTAAACAAATCAATTGCGAAAACATTAGAGCTACTAAAGACAAATCAGGGGAATATAAACCATAATTTGACCAATGGAATAGTGAAGTCAAGTACTAGTAAGCTACAGTGGAGAGACATATGCTAGCAGGAGGAAAATAATGCTACTATTCCTCATACGAAGTAGCAGGCTCCAGCGCACAAAGACGGAGAAAGGAAGTGGGCAGGACTGTTCGAGAAACATAGCCTTGCGTCCAATGGTATAAATCACTCTTACATTCCACCATTAATTCAGGATGGTGAAATTGTTGTTCAATTGGAAGAAGATGATGTTGCAGCTGAAACAGAGAAATGGAATTTATCCTTAGTTGCTTATGTGGTTGGCAATACCCCCTCAATTGGAGCCATGGAGAGATTCATAGCTAATCAGTGGAATTTTGTGACAAAACCTAAAGTACTCCTTCACAATGATGGATACTTTGTTATTCGATTTGCTAGTGCGAAGGACAGAAATGCAGTCTTATTCTTTGGGCCTTATACATTGTACAATCAACTTATCATACTAAGATCATGGTCTGTAGACTTTGATTTCAATGAGGAAGTACTAAGGACCATTCTTTTGGGGGTAAAACTTCCAAACATGCCTTTGAAGTGCTGGAGTGAAAGATCCCTAAGCAAAATTGGGAGTGGACTAGGAAAGCCAATATATGCTGATGAATGTACATCTAAAGCTGAGAGGATATCCTATTCTAGGCTCTTGATTGAGATGGATGTAAGTAGGCCTCTTCCTGGCACTATCAAAGTATGTGATCCTATAGGGAAGATTATTGACCAACCATTAGCTTATGACTGGAAGCCACAATACTGTCATGTATGCTGTCAGATTGGCCACAACTGCAAGCTGAACAACACTCTGCAAAACCATATGGACAAAAAATATAGCCCAAACAAGATAACCTGAAGTAGGAATGGAAGATATCTCGTATACTGGATCCCACAGTTGATACTCATATAGATGCACATGGTAGATTCATTGACAATATTGTCCAATCACCAAACGAAATAGCAGAAAAACAGATAACAATTAGAGAATGGGAAAGGGCTAGTAGGAAATCTGCCCTGAAAGCAAGCAAAACAAAATAGCTAGACCAAAGGGTAGCTATAGAAATCTGCTTCACGCCATTAAATGAGTTCACACAGGTACCAATCCAGAGTAATGGCAGTATATAGGAGAAGGGGCAGAGCTGTGGTGCTGTGAAGAATGATCAGAACATTCATAAAACCAATAGATGAATTTTATAGCCTGGAATGTTAGAGGAATAAATAAGGTATATAAGCAAAAAGAACTTAGAACCTTTTGCAAAGACAATTTAGTAGTTCTGATAGTAGTTATATAAAATAGAGTGAAAGAAAAAAATGCTCCAAAAACTATATAGAAAATAGCAGCAGGATGGAAATGGATAGGCAACTATAATACTGATCCAAGAGTTAAATTGTGGGTGTTGTGGGATACAAGGGCTGTGGAGTTCATTGTTGCAAGAATACGTACACAGGTCATTCATGGTCATGACAAGATGTTGCAACTTAATACATGATTTCAACTTAGTATAATCTATGGACTGCATACCATTAATGATAGGAAGGAATTGTGGCAAGAGCTACAGACTATTACTACTCAAATGTCAGGGCCTGGGGTGATTATGGGAGATTTTAATTCAATACTATCTATAAAGGACATACTATATGGTAATCAAGTCCAAGAGGTTGAGGTGATTGACTTCAAGGAATTCCTGCAGTAATCTGGTATGATGGAATTGAAATCAATAGGGAGATATTACACTTGGACAAATCACCAAATACATAGCAAGATAGACATAATATTGGTGAATGCAGAATGGATTTGTAAGTGGCCTCATCTGGAAAGGATCATTATGGACTACTTCTATGATCACTGCCATTTGAGGATCACTTTTGAGACTATAAAGGAAAAAGGAACCACGCCTTTCAAGTTCTTCAATTACCTAGCTGAACATCAGGACTTCATGCATGCTGTGGAAACTAGCTGGAGAAAGCCTAGCAACTTGCACTCTATGCAAATAGTCTGGCTGAAATTCAAATAGTTGAAGGATGAGATGAAGAAACTAGCAAAAAGGGAGCCGGGCAAGGTTGAAGATAGAATAGCACAGGCCAGGGAAAAGCTGAAAACTATACAAATACAAATGAGAGATCCTGCAGGAGCTTAGAATTAGTTCAAGATTAAGAAAAAACAAAAGAAGAGCTTGAGAAATGGTTAATGGTAGAGGAAAGCATAGCCAAGCAAAAATCTAAAGTATAGTGGTTAAAACTAGGAGACATTAATACGGCCTATTTCCACGCATGCCTAAAGACAGACAATCACAGAACCAAATAAGGAACTTGACGGATTCTACAGGACAACTGCTGTAAAATGTTGGTGAAATAGAGGAAGAAATACTGAAGTTCTACAAGGGACTGCTTGGTCAAGCTACTCATCAGCTCCCAGTAGTGCAACATGACATAATGCAAAGTGGTAACAAGGGACCAACAACTAAATCTCATCAGGTCAATCATAAAGGAAGAAGTGAATGAGGCTATTAAGGGTATTGGTGATCAGAAAACCCCAGGATGTGTTCGCTTCAATGCTTTCTTCTACAAGAGGACATGGCCAGTCATAGGGGAGGAAGTAACATTTATTGTGATTGAATTATTCAATTCAGGAAGTATGTACAGACCTATAAATTGCACAATAGTCACATTGATCCCTAAGGTCAAACACCCCTCTACCATAAAGGAGTGCAGACCAATTTCATGTTGCACTGTGCTCTACAAGATAATTTCTAAAGTGCTAACAACCAGAATGCAAGGGATAATGGACCACCTGATTGATAATTGCCAAACTGCATTTATTCCTGGAAGGTTAATTGGGGATAATATCATCATAGCACATGAACTAGTTAAAGGCTATGAGAGAAAGAACATTTCACCTAGATGCATGCTGAATATTGACATGCAGAAGGCATATGATTCCTTAGAACGGCCATAAATGCAGCAAATTTTGAGGCTGACTAGATTTTCAGAAATATTTATTGCTTGGATAATGGAGTGCATCACTACTGTTACTTATTCTGTCATTATCAATGGCAAGCTTTCACAGACATTTGTAGCCAGAAAGGGATTGAGACAGGGTGACCCCCTTTCCCCTTACCTATTTGTACTAGGAATGGAGTACCTAAGTCGACTAATGAAGACCTTGAAGACAAGCAAAGATTTCAGATATCATCCTAGGTGTGCTAAGTTCAACTTGGTCCAGCTTGGGTTTGTAGATGACCTCTTGCTATTCTGCAGAGGAGATGTTCAGTCAGTACAAGCTTTACATGATAAGTTCCAAATGTTCTCTAAAGCATCAGGACTAACAGCTAACCCCAACAAGAGCTCAATCTACTTTGGAGGGGTCTGTCCGAATACTCAAGGGATGATTATAGAGGCTTTAAACTTTGGGAGAAGAGAGCTACCCTTTAGGTACTTAGGGGACTGTCAATTCTGCAATGCGAGCCCCTTATTGAAAAGATGTTGGGAAAAATAACCTCATGGACGACTAAATTCCTCTCATATGTTGGTAGAACACAGCTGATCAAGAATGTGTTATATGCCATTCAAACTTTCTGGGCTCAAGAGTTCATTGTTCCAAAAAAACTTCTCCAGTTTATAGAGACAATCTGCATAATGTTCCTATGGACAGGCACTGCTGAATTCACAAGGAAGTCCTTGATTACATGGGATAAAATATGTGCTCCTAAAGCAGTTGGTGGCCTCAATTTGCTTTATGTTAACTGCTGGAACCAAGCAGCTATAGGGAAGTTGCTATGGCATGTATACAGGAGAAAGGAAAAGCTTTGGGTCATTTGGGTCCACACATACTATATAAAAGGGAGATCAGATTGGAATATTGACCTAAGAATGTATCAAGGGTGGTACAATAGAGTTTCAAGGTGAGACACTACCTAGAAGAGGCAGGCTACACCCACAATGATATCCAAAAATATAATAAATACTCAGTTAGAGAGGTTTACCACAGAATACTAGGGGAATTCCCAAAAGTGTCATGGAGAAAGATTATATATAAAATATCAATGAGCTCCTAAATGGTTGTTCATTTTGAGACTAGCTATATATGGAAGGTTGGCTACAAAAGACAGAATTGCTCAATGGGGGCATTGCCACTGATCTCATATGCCCCTTTTGTAATAAAGAGTAGGAAACCACTCAACACCTCTTCTTTGGATGTGAGATAACTGGTGGCATTTGGAAGAAGATACTGATGTGGCAGAACATTAAGAGAACTAGCATGGTATGGAATGATGAAATCCAGTGGGCTATCAATACATGCAAAGGAAGAAGTGCAGGTGCTAGCTTTTATCATATCACATTGGCAGCAATAGTGTACTATATATGGCAAGAGAGTAACAATAGAATAATCTAAAAGCAAATGAGGCCAACAGAGATTATAATTCGACTGATAGTGCATGAGGTCAACTTTAGAGCAAGTTTGTCAACTAAATTGGGAACTTACATAAAGAAGTTGAATTACTATCCTATATAGACTATGTTTGCCAGAAATCCAATTGATGTAGGATGAAGAAATTAGATGAACTTGAGGTAGGTAGTTCTGGAGCTTGCATGCTTAGACTGCTATTTTTTTATGTAGTTAATGGAGCTGTAAATATTCACAATTTTATTATATAAAATCCGATTATTTGATCCAAATTGTTTTTACTTCATGGTAAAGAAGAGAATCCATATAATACAAGACTTCAAAAGTTGGTGATAATCAAATCTGTTTGTCTTGTCAGTATTGATTTAGAAAAGATTTTAATCCATCACCTTTATATATGAATAGAGTTTATTTAAAAAATCAAACTTCCCGTCCCACAAGCTAAGTATTAGTATCTTCTTTAATATAGTTTCTTTCCCTTTTCTTCCCCCCACACATAGAGAAATATATAAGGAAAAAAGAATTGTAACGACCCGACCGGTCGTTTTTCTTTTTTGATCCCCGTTCTCCCTAAATAAGACTCTATGTATGTGCTTTTACTATTTTATGACTAGTGGGGATGGTTAGTTCAGGATTTGGAAGAGTTCGGGTTGAAATCGGAACACTTGATTCCTTAAGGTTGGCTAAAAGGGGCTAAGTTTGACTTTGGTCAATATTTTGAGTAAACGACCTCGGAACCAGGATTTAATGATTTCAATAGGTTCGTATGATGATTTTGGACTTGGGCGTATGTTTGGATCGGATTTTGGATGACCCGGGAGCGTTTCAACGCTTAATATAGATAGTTGTCATCTTGAAGGTTTTAAAGTTCTTTAAATTTGGTTTGGAGTGGGTTTTGATGCTATCGAGGTCCGTTTGGGATTCTGAGCCTGGGAATAGAACTGTATGGCGATTTAAGGCTTACACGCATTTTGGAGTCATTCCGAGTAGTTTAAGTATGTTTCGGCGCGTTCAGAGTAATTTGGAAGAATTTGAAGTTCATAAGTTGATTCTATTGGTTTTGGGTTGTGATTCTTAGTTTTGATATTGTTTTCCGCATTCCTAGGATGAGAACGAGTTCGTTTTATGATTTCAAACTTGATGGCATGTTTGAACGGGGCCTCGGGGGCCACGGATGCCATACGTACGATGCACGGAGGTCGTTTAGCCATGGGTGAATATCTGAAGCACCCAACTTCTGGTGTAATCACACCTGTGGAGGGCCAGTCGCAGGTGTGAGCTTGCAGAAGCGAGCCAGAAGCCGTAGAAGCGGTCTAGCATGGGCAGCCAGAAAATGCAGATACAGAAAAGGAGACCGCAGACGTAGTCAAGGGACCGTAGAAGCATGGACTTGCGCAGGTGCGGCTCAGCTGCCGCAGGAGCGACATCGCAGAAGCGAGCCATAATTCCGCAGATGTGGATTTAGGCTAGCCAAGAGAGGACCGCATCTGCGATGAATCTTCCACAGATGCGGAGCCGCAGATGCAGCTCAGGGACCACAAATGCGAAAGTCCTGGAGGCAGAATGGTCCATTTAATGCGGGACTTAGGCGATTTTGACTCATTTTCTTTCATCTCTTGGGCTATTTTGGAGCTCGTCGAGAGGGGTTTTCAAGGTAAGTAATTTTGATACAATGTGAGTTAAATACATAGATTATGGGTAGATTTTAACATGTAAAATTGTGAAAAATATGGGTTTAGATGAAAAACCTAGATCTTGATAAAAATGGGATTTAACCACGAAAATAGTTATAGAATTGAGTGAAAACTATATATTTGAGTTCGTGAGGTTATGAATAACAACTTTCTTCAAAGATTTTTGGAATCCGGCCACGTGGGCCCAGGGATGAATTTTAGGAATCCTTCAATTATGGTTGGGTAATCACTTTAATATTTGAAATATGAACTTTTGAACATGTATTGATTAATTTATATAACATTTGACTAGTTTTGGATTGTTCGGCACCGAGTTGAGGCTTTGGGATGAAATTGTGACCGAAAAGTAAGCCTTAAAACGAGGTAAGTCTCTTGTCTAACTTTTTAAGAGGGAACGTGCCTCATAGATAATTTAAATTAATATTTTCTTCTAATTGTGGGGGGCTACGTACGCACGAGGTGACCAGAGTCCGTGCGTAGCTACTATTTGTGCTTACGTCCTGGTAGTTTAATACCTAAATCATAAATTACTTGTAATGTTTTCACCTTACTTGTTAATTTAAGTGCCAAAATTGTATTAGAACTTGTTAGAGGAATTGCAAAAGACCGAGTTTCACTTACTTGAATTTTTAGCGGATTACTTGACAGTTAATGGAAAATTTATTATATTATGTGTTAGGCATGTCATAACGTTTAAGTCAAATGCTTATAAAGTATCCTCTCTTCTTTTGGAGCGGTCTGAACGCCTCGGTAGTAGATAGATGCATCTATGGATCGTGCCGCATGTCCCTCGACAATGTACACGTTAATCTGGATCGTATCGTATGACCTCAGCATAAATCATGCTTAACAATACTCGGAGCCTAATCATACTTGATATTATTTTGTGGCTTATGAGGTTACATTTATTAATGACGAGGATTTATTAAAATGTGAAAGAATTATTTTCTCATGCTTGTTAATGAGTTACTATAATTATTTACATAACTCATGCTTATTTAGAATTTTTGTATTCATATTGTTAGCCCTAAGATAAGTG